TTGAATAGCTAATTCCCTTCTTCCTCTATATCAACAACAAATTTCATATTTAGGTGTAGTACTTTAAAATTGATTAATGCACTGGTTGTTGTAGAATCGATTGTTTGACTGGTGTCAATTGGACTGGGCCTACGTATTGGCTTGAGAAGTTTTGAGGTGAGTTGATATAACCCTTTACAAAAGTGGTTTAACTCACAAAAGCATGCACACAAGGTGTTTGATGAATTGCATAAAAGAGTTAATATATACTCAATTGGAATAGAAAGTACCTATTAGCTTAAAATTATTTTCTAGCTAAAGTTTAGATGATTATTTGGATATATGTGCATAAATTTCAGATTTTTATGTTATTCTTATATGCCATTTTCATGTTGAAAAAAAAATCATGAAGGATCAAGAACCTTTATAAATACTTTTGGATATTTATTTCATTCTTATGCCATGCCTTACATTTAAGGATACCGGTATGAGTATGTATAAAAGAATTAGACTTGAAAAGTCACAAGAAGAAGCTTTAGAAAGAAAAGGTTTTTGGGAGTATCCTTTATTCTGAGAAGGGGTCATCGTCCAGGCCTAGGGTCCTGACCAAGGCGTTGACTTCCTGAAACTACTTGTGCCAAAGTAGGGAGCACACGAGCCGAGGGTCTCATTGCTAATAAATTACTTAGCCATGCTAAGGTATGATACATGAGCGCTGAGAACCATGAAGCGAGTGGCACCTCGTGGATTGGGCCTATTCGATCAGGTTGGGATTGAACCCGTGCCGATCACGCGGTGCCTGACACCGAATTAATTCAGGATAGTTGGAACTCCCAAAGTATAAAGTGAAGTGTTTTTTTTATAAGAAAGAAAAAAGAAAAGAATTTCTTTTAGAATATTCATAAATTGCTATTATGCGATTATTTAGAATTATTCTTATAAGCTTAATGTTTTACATGCAGTTAGAACCTTAGCTCATAATGTATATGTTATTAAAGTTTCGGCCCCTGTTGTTGAAACTCACTGAGTACAATGGATGGTATTGACGTTCTCTTTTGGGAACCTACGTTGGTCTGCGGTACAACGTAGGAACCGGATTTGCAGGCGAGTAAGCTACGAGTTAGGACTTCCTTCTCTTCCAGTGGTATTGGTGAGCTCCGCTTTTGTTCGTGGAGTATTCCTTAGAGTCATCTTTATTTAGTTATTTCTTTGTTACTTAGAGAACTGGCCAGGAAATCTCATGTCCTGAGCAGTGCGTCAGTTTATCAGTAGAGGATTTATAGACATAGTCGTTGAGTTAAGATTCAGATGTTTTTGATAATAACTTAGCAGTATTTCATTTGTTACTATGGATAAAGTTTTGGAGTTGATTTACTTAAATGTTTAAATTAAACAAAAGTATTTGGTTGGAGTATTGCCTTGTTGCATATAAATTTTGGAGTTATAATAGATTTGATAAGCAAAGATGGTTCGCTCGGTCATGTTTAGTGATTGAGTGCCGGTCTCGGCTTGTTCAGAAAATGGGTCGTGACAAACTTGGTATCAGAGCCTCAGGTTTATGGAGTCCTAGGGGTCTATGAAGCCGTGTTAGTAGAGTCTTGTTTATGGGTATGAAGCGCGCCATACTTATAAATAGGAGGCTACAAGCATTTAGGAATAATCTCATTTTTTGTCATACTTTAGATCGTGCAGTAGATCCTACCTCTAAGAAATTATCTAATGTATTCGTTTCTCCAAAACTTGCAGAAATGGCTCGTACTCGCAACTCTAACACCGACACTCAAGATGCTGCTGAAGAAACTATTGCTACTATTGTGGCTTAAGGCAGAATTAAAAAGGCTTCAACTCAGAAACGGAAGTGTAAATCTACAAATGGGGTTCAAGTACCCTGGGTTGAACATGACGAAGGGGTGGAGCATGATGATCCAGTACCTCAGGATCCAGTACCGCCCCCACCAGCAGCTCCGGCTAAGACAACTATATCCCCAAAGGTGGGTCAGATATTTAATGCAGTCAACAGTGCTATGGAGATGTTTAAAGCCTTTATGGCCAACCAGAACGAGAGAAAAGATGAGATTCCACCTCAATCAAATAGACAGAACAATTATGAGTCCTCAAGAGTGAATGAATTTTTGAAGTTGAGTCCTCCAGTGTTCCAGGGTTCTCTAGTTGATGAAGATCCGATGTTGTCGCTGGAGGGTGTCAAGAAAGCTCTTCGAGTGATGAAAGCATTTGATGATGAAGCTGTGGAGCTAGCTGCTTACCAGCTTAGAGATGTGGCCGGCGCTTGGTTTGAGATGTGGGAAAATGAAAGAGATGAAGATGATGGTCCGCCTACTTGGGAAGAATTTGAAGAGGCCTTCATGGCTAACTTTATCCGAGAAGAGGATAGGGAAGCTAAGGCTACAGAGTTCGAACAGCTCAAGCAAGGGAATAAAAGTGTGCAAGAGTACTACATGGAATTCATAAGGTTGGCTAAGCATGCTCCTCACATGGTTAAGACAGAAAAAGCAAAGATTCGCAGGTTTGTTGGCGGTTTGGCTCACCACATTAAGGATACAACATCAGCTGCAGCAGTAGGAACGACAGCTTTCTCCTCTGTCGTGGGGTTCGCCAAGCACTTAGAAAAGGACAGACAACTAAGGAGAGAAGAAAAAGAGCATAACAAGAAAGCCCGGACAACGGGCAGGTTTAATGGTACATCCAGCGGAGGTGGAAGGGATTCCTCTAATAAGGAGTCATTAGCACCAGCTCAGTCCAGTCATCAGTCAGGTGGTGGGTCTTCCTTCAGAAGTACTCAGAGTAATGGAAATCAGTCTCGCCAGAATCAGAATTTTAGGACATCATCCTCACATAGCCAGAGTCATGCTGAGCAACATTCACACCAACAAGGTCTTTGTGGAACATGTAAGCGGCAACATTCAGGTCAGTGCAAGCTCGGGTTTCATGGTTGCTACCATTGTGGAGACATTGGTCATATAAAGGCCAACTGCCCAAAGTTGCGACGTAATTTCAGTGGTGGATCAACTCGTCCTTCTAGTTCCTCAGCTACTGTAGTTGCACCACCTCAGGCTCGTGGTTCTTATAATCAGACCGGGCATGGAGCAGGCAGAGGTGCAGACCGAGTTACTCAGGGAGGGGGACAACCCCGTTTGTTTGCTACACTTGATCGTCAGAGTGCAGAGGCATCTGCAGAAGTTATTACAGGTATACTTTTAGTCTGCTCACATAATGCTTATGCCATAATGGATCCAGGTTCAACGTTTTCATATGTGACTCCATACTTTTCAATTAACCTCGGGCTAGAACCTGAACAACTTAGTGAGCCATTCCAGTATCTACTCCAGTTGGCGAGTCAGTGAAAGTCACAAGAGTCTATAGAAGTTGTATAGTTTCAGTCCAAGGTCGCAACACCAAAGCCGATCTCATAGAGTTAGAAATGGTGGATTTCGATGTGATCATAGGTATGGATTCGTTATCTTCCTGCTATGCCATGTTAGATTGTCATGCCAAGATAGTCAAGTTCCAAATTCCAAATGAAGAAGTCCTAGAGTGGAAGGGTAGTTCAGCATCGCTTGTAGGTAAGTTTATTTCTTACCTTAAGGCACAACGAATGATCGGTAAGGGGTGTCTCGCCTATCTGGCTCACATCATTAATCCAGAATCAGAACCACCAGCTCTTCAGTCTGTGCCAGTTGTTAGAGAATTTATAGAAGTTTTCCCAGATGACCTTCCCGGACTTCCTCCTGAAAGAATCATAAACTTTGGCATTGATCTCGTGCCAGGCACTCAGCCCATATCTATACCTCCTTATAGGATGGCTCCAGCATAACTTAATGAGTTGAGAGAACGGTTGAAAGACCTTCTTGACAAGGGCTTCATCAGGCCGAGTGTTTGCCCCGATCCTGTTTGTCAAGAAGAAAGATGGGTCTCTCAAAATGTGCGTCGACTATCGGCAGTTGAATAAAGTTACAATTAAGAACAAGTACCCACTGCCAAGAATTGATGATTTATTTGATCAACTTCAGGGTGAAAAGTACTTTTCAAAAATAGACTTGAGGTCGGGGTACCATCAGTTGACAATCAGAAAAAAGGATATATCTAAAACAAGCCTTTAGAACTCGCTACGGGCACTATGAATTTCTAGTGATGTCCTTCGGGTTGACAAATGCTCCAGCTGCATTCATGGACCTCATGAACAGAGTTTTCAAGCCATTCCTGGATACCTTTATTATTGTGTTTATAGACGATATTTTGGTGTACTCTAAGAGCAAGGAAGATCATGCAGAACACCTCAGAATAGCCTTGCAGACCTTGAAGGAGAATGAGCTTTATGCCAAGTTTTCAAAATGCGAGTTCTGGTTGCAGCCAGTGGCATTCTTAGGCCACGTGGTATCTAGTGAAGGAATAAAAGTAGACCCTCAGAAGACAGAAGCACTCAAGAACTGGCCTAGGCAGACGACGCCAACCGAAATCAGGAGTTTCTTGGGGTTAGCTGGCTACTATAGAAGGTTTGTAGAGGGTTTTTCCTTACTTGCAGCTCCACTAACTAAGTTGACTCAGAAAGCAGTTAAGTTCCAATGGTCAGACGCTTGTGAGCAGAGTTTTCAAGAGTTAAAGAAGAGGTTGACCACTGCACCTGTGTTAACCTTGCCGACAGGTTCGGGTGAGTTCATAGTGTATTGTGATGCCTCCAGAGTGGGCCTTGGTTGTATTCTTATGCAACATGGAAAAGTTATTGCTTATGCTTCCAGGCAGTTAAAGAATCATGAAAAGAACTACCCCACACACGACTTGGAGCTTGCAGCAGTGGTGTTTGCATTAAAAATATGGCGGCACTACCTTTATGGCGAGCATTCTGAAGTGTTTACAGATCACAAAAGCCTCCAGTACATTTTCAAGCAAACATAACTAATTTGAGACAGAGAAGGTGGCTCGAGCTATTGAAAGATTATGACATCAATATCCTTTATCACCCGGGCAAAGCTAATGGGGTTGCAGATGCACTTAGTAGGAAGTCAATGGGTGTCTTGGCCCATCTTGCAGTACAAAGGCGATCTTTGGGTCGAGAAATTCAAAAACTAGCAAATGATGGAATTAGATTGGATGAGACCGAAGAAGGAGATATAACTGCTTATGCCTTAGCGCAATCCTGCCTTGTTGCGCATGTTAAGGCTAAGCAAGACGAAGATCCGTACTTAGTGAAATTAAAAGAAGGAGTCAGAAGCAAAGAAATCACTACTTTCACTCTAGGAAGTGACAAAGTTTTGAAGTTGAATGATCGGTTATGTGTGCCTGATGTAGATGGTCTTAGGAAGGCCATAATGGAGGAAGCTCACAGTTCGAGGTACTCTATCCACCCAGGTGCTACCAAAATGTATCTAGATTTGAAAGAATCGTATTGGTGGAGGCATAAAGAAACAAGTAGCAGATCATGTGGCTAAATGTTTAAATTGCCAGCAAGTCAAAGCCGAGCATCAGAGGCCTGGTGGCCTAGCTCAAGACATAAAGATACCACAGTGGAAGTGGGAGATGATTAATATGGATTTCGTAGTAGGTCTACCTCGCACATACCGTAAGCATGATTCCATTTGGGTTATTGTAGACCAACTGACAAAGTCCGCACATTTCCTACCGGTAAAGATGACAGATTCTGCAGAGTAGTATGCGCAGTTGTACATCAAAGAAATAGTCCGATTGCATGGTACTCTAATTTCAATCATATCTGACAGAGGCCCTCAGTTCACAGCGCATTTTTGGCAAGCATTTCAGAAAAGATTAGGTACCAAGGTCAATCTGAGCAGCGCTTTCCATCCACATACAGATGGTCAGGCAGAAAGGACGATTCAGACTCTCGAAGATATGCTGCGTGCGTGTGTTTTAGATTTTGGAGGTAATTGGGATGATCACTTGCCACTTATAGAATTTGCTTACAATAACAGCTATCAGGCCAGCATTGGTATGGCTCCTTATGAAGCGTTGTATGGGCGGAGATGTAGGTCTCCAGTGGGTTGGTTTGAACCAGCAAAGGTGCCGTTGATTGGTCCAGAGTTTGTTTGTGAGGCCTTGGAGAAATTTCAGCTAATTAGAGAAAGACTTAAAGCGGCTCAGAGTCGTCAAAAGTCTTATTCTGACAAGAGGCATCGGGAGTTAGAGTTAATGGTTGGTGATAAGGTGTTTTCGAATGTTTCACCAATGAAAGGAGTAATGAGGTTTGGGAAGAAAGGGAAACTTAGCTCTAGATTTATCGGACCTTATGAAATTCTAGAAAAGAAAGGAAACGTGGCTTATAAGCTAGCGCTACCCGTTGAGCTGTCCTCCGTTCATCCTGTCTTTCATGTGTCTATGCTTAGAAAGTACATTCATGACGAGTCGCATATAATACCTGCCGATACCATAGAAACTAAAGAAGGTTTGATTTATGAAGAGGTACCTATAGAAATTCTCGATAGACAAGTAAGAAAGTTGAGAACAAATGATTTAGCATCGGTAAAGGTTTTGTGGGAGTAATCATAATTCAAAAGAGGCTACGTGGGAGGTCGAGGAAGATATGAGAAAGAAATATCCATATTTATTTGTGGAAAAAGGTATGTGAACCTAAGTTTGCTTTGACAGTTATAATTCATTTATTAAATACAAGTTAGCAAGTGTTTCTGTCCTTCCTAGATTATACTTAGTTGTTGTAGTAATTTAGTTTATGCCGTAAGATACTTAATTCATTAAAGTGATTTACTTGTGCTAAAGTTGTTGTGCTTTAGAGTCTTGTTGGTTATTGTGGTACCTCCTTGCCGGAGTGTGAATAATTAATTTATGAGTTGTGTATGGTGCCTATGAATGGCATGTTATGGTATCTTTGGTTGTTGTTGGTATAATTGTGGTATTTGTGACAGGGAAATTTTTTTGGATAGTCCAATTTACAAGGGAAACTCTGCCGAAATTTTTGAAAATTTAGGGAGTTAGCCAAAATTTTGAGTCCCTTGGAAGAATGAGTAGTGCTAAGAAAACTTAAGAGGTTCAAGGACCTAAGGAATGATTGTTAGCTTAAGAATAAGGCCCTAGCAACATTCGAGGACGAATGTTTTTAAGGAGGGAAGATTGTAACACTCCTCAAATTTATAAAAGTTTCGAGACACGCTAATTATTGAACTAAATTATTGCTATTTTTATTATTTTTATCTTGCATATATATATATATATATATATATTATTAATTATTAAAAGTGGGTATCACTAATTATTAGTTAAGTAAAAAAAAAGGGAAAAAGGGCCTAAAAGCCCATAAAAGGGCTATTTGGGAACAAAAGGCTCCAAGCCTTAAAAGAAACAGAACTTACGTTCTGATTCATCAAAAAGGGCGGAAGGCTTTTGCCTTAGACGAAAAACAGAGCAGTACGAAACAGAGGCTTCTTATCACGCAGGCAACGGAAAATCTAGGGTTCTTTACAAATCACTAATTCTCGAACTCAGGTATATAAAATTCTATTTTCAATTATCCTAAAGTAGTAATAGGTAAGAATTGAATAGCTAATTCCCTTCTTCCTCTATATCAACAATAAATTTCATATTTAGGTGTAGTACTTTAAAATTGATTAAAATGCACTGGTTGTTGTAGAATCGATTGTTTGACTGGTGTCAATTGGACTGGGCCTACGTATTAGCTTGAGAAGTTTTGAGGTGAGTTGATATAACCCTTTACTAAAGTGGTTTAACTCACAAAAGCATGCACACAAGGTGTTTGATGAATTGCATAAAAGAGTTAATATATACTTAATTGGAATAGTAAGTACCTATTAGCTTAGAATTATTTTCTAGCTAAAGTTTAGATGATTATTTGGATATATGTGCATAAATTTCAGATTTTTATGTTATTCTTATATGCCATTTTCATGATGAAAATTCATGAAGGATCAAGAACCATTATATATACTTTTGAGTGTTTATTTCATTCTTATGCCATGCCTTACATTTAAGGATACCAGTATGGGTATTTATAAAAGAATTAGACTTGAAAAGTCACAAGAAGAACTTTTAGAAAGAAAAGATTTTTGGGAGTATCCTTTATCTGAGAAGGGGTCATCGTCCAGGCATAGGGTCCTGACCAAGGCGTTGACTTCCTGAAACTACTTGTGCCAAAGTAAGGAGCAAACAAGCCGAGGGTCTCATTGCTGAGAAATTACTTAGCCATGCTAAGGTATGATATATGAGTGCTGAGAACCATGAAGCGAGTGGCACCTCATGGATTGTGCCTATTCGATCAGGTTGGGATCGAACCCGTGCCGATCACACGGTGACTGAGACAAAATTAAGTCAGGATAGTTGGAACTCCCAAAGTATAAAGTGAAGTATTTTTTTTATCAGAAAGAAAAACAATAGAATTTCTTTTAGAATATTCATAAAACTGCTATTATGCGATTAGTTAGAATTATTCTTATAAGCTTTATGTTTTACATGCATTTAGAACCTTTGCTCATAATGTATTTGTTATTAAAGTTTCGCCCCCTGTTGTTGAAACTCACTGAGTACAATGGATGGTACTAACGTTCTCTTTTGGGAACCTACGTTGGTCTGCGGTACAACGTAGGAACCGGATTTGCAGGCGAGCAATCTACGAGTTAGGATTTCCTTTTCTTCCAGTGCTATTGGTGAGCTCCGATTTTGTTCGTGGAGTATTCCTTAGAGTCATCTTTATTTAGTTATTTCTTTGTTACTTAGAGAACTGGCCAGGAAATCTCATGTCCTGAGCAGTGCGTCAGTTTATCAGTAGAGGCTTTATAGACATAGTCGTTGGGCTAATATTCAGATGTTTTTGATAATAACTTAACAGCATTTCATTGGTTACTATGGATAAAGTTTTGGAGTTGATTTATTTAAATGTTTAAATTAAAAAAAAGTATTTGGTTATAGTATTGCCTTGTTGCATATAATGTTTGGAGTTATAATAGATTGGATAAGCAGAGATGGTTCGCTCGGTCATGTTTATTGATCGAGTGACGGTCCCGGCTTGTTCAGAAAATGGGTCATGACATGGAGCTCCTCCTCCGAAGCTATTGCCCTCTCCTCGGTACAATCTCTGGGATCTGCTCAGCATGCACTCGCTGCTCGGGAGTACGCACGGCGGCATTCTATGCTCCTCCCCCGGCCTGGGATGTGGCTGGAACAAGGGGAAGCAACCCTACATAATCTAGAGTGGTGTACATAGTCATTAACTGCACCAGAGTCTCTTGGAGAACTGGATTAGTAGTAGCAGTAGGCGTATCAGGTGTTTGGACTCCGGCTGGAACTACTGGTGGCACCTCGGTGGCAGCTCGCGCGGGTGCTCTGGCTGCACCACGTGAGCTTCCTCGGCCTCTAACCCGGCCCCGGCCTCTGACGGCTCCAGTAAGGGGCGCGGGTGCCCGATCATCTCGGGTAGCACGTGTCCTCACCATCTGTGAGAGAATAGAATACAGAGGTTTAGAATTGTGATATCAAAATCTCGCACGACAAGGAAATAAAATGAAGTGGAATTTTCCTAACAGTTACATAGCCTCTCGAGATAAGTACAGACGTCTCCGTACCGATCTACGAGACTCTAATAAACCGGCTTGTGATTCATGACTTCTATGAACCTAGAGCTCTGATACCAACTTGTCACGACCCCAGTTCGCCCTCCGTGAACAATCATGACGGCACCTAGTCTCTATGACTAGGTTAGCATAACGAATTGCGAAAAAAGAAACAACAGAATAAAACTAGCCAACAACGGCGGAATAACATAATGAAACATTTAAGATGTCGCTCGGCATATACAATACAAGCTCTTAAACTGAAACTACATTTTCCGAAACCCAGAATCTCATGAAATCACAAGCTGTGGAATAACTACAGTGTTCTAACTCCAGAGTGTATAAATAAAAGAAAATTACAGAAGGGCTATGACTAAAGAGAGCAGATAGGGACTCTTCGGTCTGCGAACGCGGCAGATATACCTCAACGTCTCTAGAGATTGCCTCGCCTCGCTAACGATATAGCTCAGTCGATGTACCTGGATCTGCACACGGGAATGCTTGTGCAGGAAAGGGCATGAGTAGACCACAACGGTACCCAATAAGTGCCAAGCCTAACCTCGGTCGGGTAGTGACGAGGAAGGTCAGGGCCCTACCGGTTATAAAATATAAAGCAAGGTAAGACAGTGTAAGGTGCAACAAAATAATCAAAACAATATCAGAAAATGAGAAGAAATCAGAGACAAATATACACTCAGTACACAGAAACATCGCCAGGGGATCACCCGGGATCCCGTCCCGTAGTCCCCAACATAAATACTCGGGGATCTCTCAGTATCCTCAATATATGTGTTAGGGATCTCTTGGTATCCCGAGGATCTCTTGGTATCCTTAATATATGTACTGGGGATCTCTTGGTATCCCGAGGTATCCCCAATATATGTGCTAGGGATCTCTTGGTATCCCGCACTACGGCCAAAATCAATGTATGTGCATGAGATCTCCCGGAATACTCATCCGTAGTCCCAAAATAAAAAAACACAACAATATCAAGGAAAGAATCCACTATTTCATTCGAGTCCGTACCAAGAAACAGAGATTTCTATTCTAACATGCTGCACAGAGTTCACATCAATAGTTTAAGCAGGTAGGAAATTAATACACTTAAGCATGCTTCCCTAAGCTGCGCAGTAGGCTTAAAATACAAGTAATGTTCAAGGAGAAGGAAACACAGATAATTTACTTAATGAAAAGCAGGTTTCCAACAAGTAGCACGTGTAGGCACTCGTCACCTCACGTACACGGCATTCATATAACAACAATACCAAATCCTAGGGGGAATGTCTCCCATACAAGGTTAGACAAGCCACTTACCTCGAACCAGCTCAATCAAATCTAGACCACGTTCATGCCATAAGTATCCGACTCCAAATGGTCCAAATCTATTCAAAGTAATTGCATGATGTAAATAACACTTCAAGTAACTAATTCAACTAATTAATTCTAAGCTAATACGCAAAATTAGGAAAATGACCAAAATGCCCCTCGGGCCCACGTCTCGGAATCGGGTAAAACATACAAGTTCGGAATCCTCACACTCTCACGAGTTCAGTCATAGCAAAAGTACCAAAATTGGACCTCAAATGGTCCCTCAAATCACCACTCAAAGCTCTCCAATAAACAAAGCCCTAACCCCCAATTTACCACTGATTTTCCTTCAAATTCCATGATTACAATGATAAAAATCACCATAATAACGAGCCTAAGGACCAAGACCTTACCTCAATGAATCCCTCAAAAAATGCTCTCCACAGCTTCTTCCCGTTTGAAATGAGATGAAAAATAACTCAAATTCACGAGGGGCGAAATATATATATGTTCTGACCCAGCAAAACCGCATCTGCAGTCCAATTACCACACTTGCGGAACCGCACCTACGGTCCCAGGTGTGCATCTGTGGTTCCTCACTTATCCGCCAGCCACCGCACCTGCGATGACCTTCTCGCACCTGCACCATTGCAGATGCGCCCACATTTCTGCATCTACGGCTCCAACCTTTCTACCTCTTGGCCGCATCTACGGTTTCCCTTTCGCTTCTGCGGGCTCGCACCCGCGGTCCCCGAGCCGGAGCTGCGGTTATGACACCAAACTCAGCAACTTCAGCTGTAATTCCCAACTCAAAACTTCCCGTTAACCATCCGAAATCACCCCGAGGCCCCGGGACCTCAACCAAATGCACGAACAAGTCATATACCATTATCCAAACTTATACAAATCTTCTAAACACCTCAAACAACATCGAATCAACCAATTAACATCGGATTCAAGCCTAAGAACTTCAAAAACTCTCAATTTACGCGTTCGATCAAAAGTCTACCAAACCTCGTCCGAATGACCTGAAATCTTACAAGCATGTCACATTCAACATTATGGAGCTACTCCAACTTCCGATATTCCATTCCGACCCCGATATCAAAATCTCACTATCGAACCGAAAACTCAAAAAAATTCAACCTTCGCCATTTCAAGCCTAATTAAGCTACGGACCTCCAAAACATAATCCGAATACGCCCCTAAGCCCGAAATCACCCAGCTGAGCTAACGGAACCAGCGGAATTCCATTTCGAGGCCGTCTTCACACTGCTCCGACTATTGTCCAAATTCTAAAGCTTAAACTCTCATTTAGGGACTAAGTGTCCCAAAACACTCCGAAACTCAAAACAAAACCTCCCAGCAACTCAAAATAGCAGAAATAAATACGGGGGAAACAATTAATAGGGGATCGGCGCGTTACTTCTTAAAACGACCGACCGGGTCATTACAAAGATGATGTTTATGCCGTGGCAACGCCTCCCTATGCGGTGATGAACGCGCAACCTTACACGCGGCCACAACATCATACACAAAACCGAGCTCCACCTCCCATAAATGTCCATCCTTACCAAGCTCCATATAATCCCCAACCAAATGTTCCCAGTACAATCCTCGCCCAAGAGAGCCTTTTAGAAAGAATCAGTTCACCCCTATTGGTGAATCGTATTCAAGCTTGTTCCAAAAGCTAATTAGGCTAAATCTATTGCAGCTAGTGGCCCCGAACCGACCAAACCCTGAGTCCCCCTTGCACCGAGCTGATGCTAGATGTGAATACCACTCTGGGGCAGTAGGACACAGTATGGAGGAAATAAAACAAAGATTCAGAACATTCTGAAGGAAAATTTGTTCCAAATTGGAAAGGTCCATACATTGCAACAAGAGTACTGTCAAAAGAGTGCATTGTACTTTGGACACATCGAAGGAAATGTCCCTGAAATAACTGTCAATGCAAATGCAGTCAAAAGGTACTATGTTGGATCCTTTATATAGAATTAATGATCTCCGATTTAGATGAAGAAGGCTTTCTTTTTCACTATCCAAACACTATCAACCCTTTGCAAACCCTTTGAGCTGGTTACTGTTCTTTGATTACCCTCTTTGGAACCTGAAAGTGTTATTGAAAAAATAAAAATTGAAAAACATAAAATGAAGAAAAACAAAGTGATGAAAAAGAAGAAGAAAAAGAAAGATACAAAAAAAAGGGGAAGAAAAGACAAAGAAAATGAAAAAAAATGAAAAAAAATAGAAGTGGAAAAGGAAAGGAAAAAGAAAGAGAAAAGAAAAGAAAACAAAACAGAAAAACAAAAGAAAATCAAAAACAAAGTTTCCCTGAACTACGTTCGACTTGATTCCGAAAGGATACGTAGGCAGCCTCTCTCTAGGCTTCAGTCACACCAAAACAAAAATCCAAATTCCCCCAAAAGTGAAACTGGGCAGATGTTCTAATTGTTCGGCGATGGTTCGCCTGAAAGGTTCAAAAGTTGTAGTTCAATCGAAACTATTCTTTCCCCAAATCCTATTCAAGCCTTTCTGATCAATCGGTGAAGATGTTCAAAATTGGAGGATGTATTTACTTGGATCTGATACATTCAAATGAGAGAAATGAAATGAGAGAATCTTATTGGTGAAAACCCACACGGGCACCATAGGGCGATGGTAAGAAGAGAAAGTGAAAATGAGAGAGTCTTGTTAGTGAAAACTCGCAATGAGCACTATAAGGCGACAGTGAGAATAGAAATGAGAGAGGTCAGCTCGTGAAAACCC